ACTTGACTACCTTTTGGAGAAGTTCTCAGTCTGGTGGAAAGAAAGTCACTCCCTTCTCAGCCCCTTCAAAAACACATGAAAACTCCTACCTAACAGCCAGCCTTCCAGCTTGCTTACCGAAAGGTGGAGTCCACAAGTGCCCTCCTTCTTCTCCACCAGGAAGGCCTGGCCTCTGCGACCCTGCTCCATCTTGCTGACATTAGGGCATCCTGACAAGGCACCTTCCCTCAGGATCCAGTGGCGAGTCTTCAGGAAGCAGCTGCTCAGTACCACCTCAATTTCCTGCGGCTGGCAGTGCAGTGTCACCGTCATACTGGACAGTTCTGTAGAAGGACAAGACTCAGATCATGGTAAGACGTCATGGGAGGGGATACTAGTTCTAATCTGGGTGGAGGAGACCCTGTTGGGATATTAGCCCCTCCCAGAAAGACCCAAACAAGAAACGTCCTCCATAGAAGGTAAGACCCGACAACTATGTTTCTACTGTGTGACCCTGATCCCTTGGATTTAGTGGATTCACTCAGAATCTCTTTTCTTCCAGGAATTAGGAATTGGACCAAAGGACTCTACAGCACTTAACAACAACAACAACATATAGGATTAAAGTGACAACGTCAATTTGAAAGAAGAGATAGGAATCTTAGGGGGGCCATCAATTTATGTTAACGGGGCAGGAACAACTCAGAAAAGAAAGTAAGAATGGTTGCACACAAAAGAATGTAATCAATGTCACTGAATTGTACATGTAAAAACAGCTGATTTAGTATTTTGTCAGAACAACAACAACAAAAGATTATAGCCAAGAAAATCCTATAGGGTAGTTTTACTCTGTCATATGGAATTGTTATAAATCGGAATTGACTCGTGACACCCAACAACAGAATCAGAGACCCTACTATGTAAACCTACAATATTGGTTTTTAAAATGATTTAATTAAGAATCATATTCTCTTTGTTAAATTTTAACTTTGACCATAAATATTATGGTAGTCATAAAAAGGTATCGTTTTATTTTACAAATTGTAATCACACACACACACACAAATAATAAACAAACAAAAAAAGTCAATGCTTTGGGTGGCCAGAATTACTTTGGCTGTAAATAGCACATGTTGGAAGTTACCATCATTCTTCCAGTACCCAGGACTAAGCTTCAGCCCTGCCAGTGCAGAAGCTCTGTATTACTCAGAGTATGCCCTGTAAATGTGCTTTACTTTATGCATGCCATATTGGTCTTGTCCCAAGTTTTGCCTCAGCTTCCATCTATCCCTCCTGGCTTCTTCTGGGACACTAACACTGATCTTTGGTAGATATCAGTCCTTTCCCCCAAAAGGATTTAATTTCTGACCAGTGTCTAGAATCCTAGAGGTTGAGGATTGATGAATTGTTCATTCTACCTCATATGCCCAACTACCTGTCCTCCCACTAGAAATCAATTCTACCCAGATAGATTGGGTAGAAATGATTTCTAGTGGGAGGACATTTCCTTAGATGCCAATACTTGGCCAAGCCATGCCAAACCTCCCCATACCCTTTGGTCATAAATTTCTTTAGACCCTCTGCCCATTAATGTCAGAATGATAACATCCACTCTGCCTTCTACTTCTTTGGATTTACTCAGATAAAGTCCTCAGACTTACCTGAGTAGGCATAGTAGCTGTCATTGCACATACAACCTTCCCCTCTGGTTGGATACTCATCCAAAGCACAGGCTCCAGCTCCGGGTTCACTACCCTGTGTGTATTTAGGGAAAACTTGACTGGCCCCAGCCATAGTAGAGGATTTTGTTGTCCCTGAGATAATGGCTGTTGAATGAACAACTGTTGTCTCAGGTGACTGGGTGGTAGCTGTGCTAACGCTGGAGGTTGATTCCACTGAGGGAGAAGGTGTCTGTGCGACTGTATCGTAATGTGTTTTAGACGGAGTGCTCATTGTAGAGGTGACAGAATTCATGTCCTTCTCTGTGAAAACTGTTGTTAGAACTGAGGCTACAGCTGTAGTTTCCCCTTCCTGATTCTCAAACATGGTAGTGAAGGTGATTGCAGTGGGCTGAACAGTGGTTATTGTGGATAAAGATTGTTTCATGTCCTTGCTCATGTTTAATGTTGTTAGGGCAGTAGTTACAGTAGCCGCTGACTTCTCAGAGATTGTGGTTCTCATGGACCCTGATGACGAGATGTCATCACCTGTTGTGCTTAATGCTGTGATTCTGGATGTCCCTCCATGGTCCATCAACATAGAAGTCATCATGGAAATTGTGCCTTTGGAGGGTGTAATACTGGTTGAATCTGCTTCGCTTTTCTGAGTCTTATGTCCTTGGGCTGTATGCTCAGTGGACCCAGTAGTGCTACTGGTTTGTGATGAAGTTGAAGGAGTAGCTGTTGATATACTGTTTTGGAAGTTAGATGTTGATATCATAGTGGTCACTGATGAGGTGCTAGGCGAAACTCCAAAGGTGTAGGTTGTCTCAGTGTTGGCTGGAGCTGAAGTAGTAGATGAGGTTTGCAGGTTACTAGACAGATATTCTTCTCCAAAGGTCATTGTGTCTGACCTAACCCCTGTGATTGTAACCAAAAAACAAAAAAAAGCAACAATAAGCCAATAAATCCATTTCCTTTAAAACCGTAGTTATTTTCAGATGTTCTCTCTGGCCAAGTATCCTTACTAAGAGACTCAATAAAAATAACAATATAAACAGCAGTCATATGATTACTGGCCCATAGTTATTTATGTGCCACCTCTAACCTCTGTGCTAATCACATAACAGTGGACTCCCATCATATACATACTTAACCTAATAGATTTCAAGTTTCAACTGATGCACACCAGGGAGCAAGAATACAGGAGTGAGAATACACAGCGCATAGGTACAGTGGATTAATGCACTGGAATGCAAAGTTGGTTTGATCCGCAAGGTCAGCAGTTTAAGCTCACCAGTCGCTCCTAGGAAACCCTACACTGGTCACTATGGATGGGCAGGAAAGGGCAGCAGGGGTCTAATTTACTGTGCCCTCAGTCCTAGCCAGCTTGGGAGAGAACTAGTCTGCTGAAATCCTAAAACTATTAGCCTGGTTCAATGGGGAGGACAGACAGAAAAGATGAGATGACAGACATAATGGAGTAAAACAGCAAGACAAACATAGCAACTGGGAGGAGGTAAATGGTCAGAAATCCCTTGGCGGTCATCCTGTCATATTCATGACTCCAAATTCATTGGTGCCCCAAGTCTCTCAGACACTGGGGTGGCGGCGGGGGGAAACTGCTCATATTATAAGGTCTTCCTGGAGACTGTACCTGATCGTCTATCACCTACTTGCCCTTTTTAGTCAGCCAGAAGAAAGGTTATGAGAGCATCCAGAAAAGGAAAGCTGGCAAGGATGCATGTCGATACTCACCAGACAGGTTGAAGACTCCAACTCCAATAAACAGAAGCTGCAGCAAAAGCCACTGGCTGCCCATGGCTCTGCTCAGTGATAGTCCTAGAGGACCCTAAGAGGGAGCCCTGGCCCAGAATAGGGGATCAAACGGCTTCTCTAAGAGTGTGAGGCACTGCTAGCTCTCTGTGCCACCTCTCATCTGCCTACTGAGTACCACCCAGCCTTCCCGCTCCCCCGCTACCCCCCCTCCCCGCCAGGTATCCAGACACCTTCTCAGCAGGCCCCAGGTGGCATTTTCAGATCTGGACTACACTGATAGGAAGAGGATGAAGGGTGGAGTTTCCCATCAGCTGCAATCAGTGGGTATCTGGGGACTCCCATTCCAAGTGGTAAATTTCCCTCAAGGTCCCTAATTGGCAGTCTTTGCCAAACAGCTGGGCAGAACTTTGGGCCTTGCAGTCTTCCTCCCACTCACTACTAGGGAACCAGAGTCTCAAGGACACGACTAATCCCTGCAGACCCCTACCTCCTTGGCTAAGAACGATTTGATTTTAGAACTAGAGATCATCCACTTCCCATTGTACAGGTGGGGAAAATAAAGCCCAATTAATTGTCAAAGACCAGAATCCAGGTATCCTATCCTCTGAGCCAGCTCTTGCTATTGGCCCATGAGCCCTACAGGCTTCTCAGACTCTTTCTATTCTTTAGCTCAGGAAACTGCTATGTCTCTCCATGGCCTTTGGCCTTTTCACAAGTCCCACATTCTCCACCAGACCTCATTCATCTGAACCTCCATCCACAGAAATCTTCTTGCTTTCCTCCAGCAAGCCTCAGTAGTCCTTTCTTCTACCAAGCTCCCCAAGACCCATTACTTTGCCCCTAGGGTGGAGTTGCCTGCATTTGTGTGACTTGGGAATTGATAACCCTTTAGACTAAGACCAGTCTCCGCCTTTAGCCAGGAATATTGGGTCTCCTTTGCCAGAGAAGGTCTCAACCATGAAAATCAATCTTTTTCCTCCAAAATTTAGGACTCGCAAAAGCAGGAATTTTATCAATCAGAAATTTCCAGAGAAGCAGGTTCTCTCTTCCATTTGATGGGAGCTCTTGAAAGCAGGCGTGTGACTCTCCCTTAAGGCAGGCTTTTGGGGGAAGGATCCTAGAGCAAGCAATCCTGGGGCAAGTTTGCCCCACGGAGACAGAGAATACCTCAAGTCAGACACACTGATCTCAATACAAAACTTTATTGTCAATACACAGATGCCTGGTCCCACAGACCTCACCTTTCTTCTCTAGATAGTTGGGCATGCTCAGTCTCCACCCAGCTCTTAACCAGTTAGAGCAGGTGGCCAAAGATGCCCATGCTTAGGCTGAATCCTGGCTTCTTTGGCCAGCATCCCTCTTCTGAGCTCATCCTGTCTAGGACTCCCACTCACAGCCAGCACCCTTTTTCATCCTGGCTCCTTTGGACCTGGGCTCATAGCCAGAGGCCCCTGGAAACGCTGTTAGCCCCAGGAGGGGATCAGCTCAAGTCAGGCTGTGCCAAACCAAGCTAGGGATGCAGGAAGATGCAACAGCTGGGTGTGTGTGTGCGCAGACTCCTTCCTTGGCTCTCCTCGTGCCCTCTCAGTGACTGGACTTGCGTTTACTATACAGTATCGTTGTACTGGATCCCTGAACCTGCAAATCAAGAGGTTTACTTGTCAATCTCCCAACTACAATCTCCCTTACTCCCTCCCTCCAGCTTTAAACTTCAAAGGCTGCCCCATCCAGCCTGCCTAGGACTGCCCCTCTGAGATTGGGAACCCAGGCTGTGGGTGCTATTCACAAGGTTCCAGGTCATTCTATACCAGTCAGACAGTGTAAGAGGCTGGGAGAGACAGGAAATAAAGTGGGTATCTACCTCTTTCTCCTCAGAAGCTGTCTCCCTTAAAAGAGAAACCAGGAGTCTGTGATATGCAGCCCAGATAAGACCCAGTTGCCCTAAGTATATGATACTAAGCAGGAACTGAATGGGTCACACTAAGAAAGGCTAGGCTTGGGGTGCTGTTGCTGTTAGTTGCCCTCGAGCTATTCTGACTCATAGTGCACCCATGTGGCAGAGTAGAACTGTTCCACAGGGTTCTCAAGACTGTCACCTGTCAGAAGCAGATGGCCAGGTTTGTCTTTTAAATCTCCTTTGGGTAGATTCAAGCCATTCACCTTTTAGTTAGTAGTTATCCCTTAGGAGGTTAGCGCAAATTGCCCAAGGGGACGGGGGTCTGACGGGAGTGGGCCAGGCCCTCATAGAAGGAGAGGGTGGGACTAAAGGGATTGGGCTGTACTTCCGAATGGTAACTCCGGAATAGACAGAAACTTTAAATAAAGACTAGAGGCTGCATTGGGTCAGGCGCGGCCAATCCTAATTGGGTAGGAACAGCAAGAACCTTTTCCTTGTTTATGAGCGCCGAAAGCAAATCTTGCTGGTGTTGGCGGACTTCCACAGAGGTCGTGCTCTCCATAATAGGCTGGCTCGTCTGGTACTTGAGCATGGTCTCCTGCTCTTGCTCCTGATTGAAGCGTATGGAGCGTACCTCTTCCACAATGCTGGGGGCGAGACAGAGTGCGTTCTGATACTGCCGTGTGTGTGTGTGTGTGTGTGTGTGTGTGTGTGTGTGTGTGTGTGTATGATGGGGAGTACTCCTACCTCTTCCCTGGTGTGCGCCCACCCCCCTTTCCTCCTCCACTGGCCTCGAGAGCGATCCAAGCTGAGCTGTGACCTCTTGTGAAATGGGGGACTATGGAAATCTTCCACCAACAGGTTACGTGACCCTGGACAAATCACTTAACCTCCCTGGGTCCTGAGATCCTCATTGTGAAATGTGGGGGCTTAAGTCCAGAAGATTCTGAGACTGTCCAGCTCTTCCTCACGGACTCGGGGGCACCCCCTCCCCCCAGTACTACCCCTACGTGTTGAGCTCATCTCGGATCTCCTTGTACTCCTTCAAGTTCTCCTGTATCGCCTCCAAAACCAAACAGAAGTTGTCACACGTGGTCTCTGAGAGGTTTGACAGGGGACCCCCCACAAGCGGCTCCTGGGGGAGGCCAGACTTCTCCAAGCGGGCTGCTACACAGTGCACCAGTGGCAGATCCGTAGTCATGTCCTGCTCCTGGAAGGGGGGTGGAGTGGACAGGGGACTCACTGTCCAGGCTGGCATCCCCTCCCCCAGCCTCTTCCTGCTTGGCTTCTAGAGGATGAAGTCTCTTAAGGACATCAGGGGTCCATGCCCCTCATTTCAGCTGAAACCAAATCTTAGCTTCCCTGTCTTGCTGTGGGATCTGAAACTCAAAGACACAAACCCTTTTCCCACTTAACAGGGAAATTCTCACTCTCTTTCAAAATAGTCCCTACATCTCTCAGCAACATTGTAAAGTTCTACCTTCTCTCAAGTCACAAGCCACAACATCACTTTGGAAAATACCCCTCCCCTCCAGCCTTATGGAAGTTCTACCCCTGGGTGAAAAAGACTGCAACAAACATTATTGAGTGCTTAATATGGGTCAAGCACTGTGCATTAGCCCATGTAATCCTAATAGCCCTATGAGACAAATGCTATGATTATTTCTACTTTACAGAAGACATCAGGCCTTAGATTGGTTAAATGACCTGAGGTCTCCCAGCTGTTCTGGGTTTGGTCGTCATAGAAACATGATGTCTAAGAAATCTCTATTCATCATAAACCTCAGTTGGTGGGTTAGCACTCAAGGTGTGGGGATGCTGCCTCCAGGTGTTAGACTGGGTTTTCTCCAGGGCTCTGCCCATACACAATGTCCGTGAGTGTGTAAGCATACACACACCTTCACATAGCCTCAATTTAGCATTGTTGTTGTTGTTGTTGTAAAGTGCCGTCGAGTCGGTTCCAACCCATAGCGACCTTGTTTAGGGTTTCCAAGGAGCAGCTGGTGAGCTTGAACCACCGACCTTGCAGTTCAAACGGCTTTGCAGTCTGGCGCATCAACCCACAGCACCATACCAGGACTTCATACACACTCCCTTTTCCTCCCTCTTGCCCTGCCCATCCCACTCACCTCACTAAAGGTTATTTTATACGACTTCCCTTGGTCTCCTCTCTTCACCATTAGCTCCAGGTTGGTAGTCACCACGACGACCAACAGGTTGATGCCAATGAAGGCACCAAGGGTGATGAAGATGATAAAGTAGATGGCACCCCCAATCTCCACTGCATATTCCCTATGCTTCAACCTGGAGATGGCAGGCAGGGCACTCCATCACTTCTCTGGCCCCTTGAGCCTCAGTTTTCTCATCTATGAAATGGGGACAAGTAGGGCTTCTGCCTGCCTCATTGTTGTGCAGATCTAATGTGTTATTCCTAATTGTCCCAGCAGCTACTTCCCTCTGAACACCTGCTGTGCTGCCAGACAGCAGGTTAGTTCTTAAGTCATGCCTGCAAGATGGGGGTTTGCTCATCAGCATGATCAGTTTCCATCTCTTAGCACTTCATGTGTTTCTTATTTTAAAAGTAATACACACTCATTATAGAAAAAAAAAAACAAAAGAAAATTACAACAACAGAAAAATTTCAATCCACTCTTGACTTAATCACTGTTAATATCTTGTTATAAAAACGCTCATTAAAAAATCTTCCCAGATGTTTTTTTCCTCACTGAAAGTATATGTATGTAAGATAGAAATAGGACCACTCTGTGCCAAGCTGTATGCTAAGAGGTCTATTTTTGTGGTTGATCATCAAGTCAGCCCCTGGTTCATGGCAACGTCATTTATAAAGGTTTTCTCTATTGATCTTCACAGCAATCCATGACATAGTTAAGGCTATAATCCCCACTCTACAGATGAGGAAACTGAGGCTCAGAATTGAGATGAAGGAACTTGTCAAAGTCTGCACAGTTCATGTAATAGAGAAAAGACTCAAAGCCTGGTCCACCTTTATTTTGTAGTTTGTGATTTTTCCATCTATACAGAGTCACTATGAGTTGGAACCAACTTGATGGCACATAACAACAACTTCTTAATGGATAATGACTGGAGAAATCCTTCGCCGACTGAGTTGGTTTCTACCTTCACATGAAAGGGATTTTTAAGAAATCACGTAGAGGGATTCACTTCCTACAGTGGACTGGAAAGTGAGCTTAGACTTAATGGCCAAATGACCTTGGGCCCCAGGTCTAAAAATTAATGAGATCCCAAAGTTTCAGGAGTGTAGACAATTTGGTGGGTTCCAGTGTGGGCTGGGAGACTGCCTTGTTACTCTAGGTTTATGGAGACTCCTCCCATCATGATCCTGTAAGTTTTAGCTACTCAGCTCTTTAGCATGATGGAAAGAGTACCATGAACAAGCCAGGAGTGGAAATTTGAATAGGTGGGGTTTCAAGAGGGGCAGGGCTTCTGAAAGCTAACCATAAATCTAGATGTTGGTCTTCTTTCTCCCAGCTTAAAGGTTGAGGTACCCCCTCCAGCTAGACCATCTTCATCCCTATACCAGGAGTCCCCACTCCCTCTGAAAGCTCTCTCCCTTCTCTGTTTCCCTGCCCCATGGGAGTTCCTCGCCAGGCTGGGATGGGCGTGGAAGCTCTACTGTCTGTCACTTACTTAAAGTCACTGTAGATGTCCACCCAACCGTCCTGGGTGATGCAGATGAAGAGGGAGTACAAGGCAACCTTTATGTTCTGGAAATGTTGGGGCACGAATGCACCAAAGAGTGTGACCCCAAACACAGAGAACACCTGCAAGGAGACCGAAGCTCTGCCCTGACTTCGTCCAAGGGCCTTAGGGACAGAACATGCCAATGCCATGCAAATGAACACTGCCAAGGGAATTGAGGGGATTCAGACCCACAGGCCTCTCCCCTTCTCCAAACACACTCATCCGCAATGACCCAGGGGCCCTGCTCAAGGAAAGGGAGAGGCTGAAGTTGGGGGAGGGCACTGACCAGCATGAAGAAGAGGAGGAGGATCATGATATTGACCATGCCAGGTATTGACTGCACAATGACATTGATGATCTGAGCCAGGGGCTCCACCGCCATGCACACATGCACCAGACGAAGCGCCCTGTGGTAAAGCCTCTCAGGGATGCCCCTCAACCCTTCCCAGACCCCTCCTGCCCATTGCCCCACCACCTGCACAGAAAGGCAGAACTGCCAACCCCCTTCCACACTCCCAGTTACAGACAGTCTCCCTCTTCCCTCCAGAGCTCCCAGCTCACCTGAGTGTATAGGTGATAGACTTGGCATTTAGTCCTTCAAGGAAGAACCCCAGGAGCAAGATAAAGGTGATAAGGAAGTTGAGGACGTTCCAGGCATCCTGTGGGGGGTGGGGGGTTGGGCAGCCTCAAAGGGGTCTGTCAGGCCCAAATTATGGGGACATCATGGGTCTGCCCTCCCTACACTCCAAGGATCAGGATGTGACATTCTTTTGGGAACAAGGTTAGTTGGCTGCTTGCTATACACTGCTGCTACCATGCTGTCTCCCAAGCATGTCACTGAACACACATGCACACACTGTCCCATTCGTGTGTCAAGCCAAGTGCAGTTTTGGGGACACAAAGTGGAAAATCTCGTGTCTACATAGCTAATTCCACCGTGGAAACCGAGAGCCCACCTTGAATAGTACTCAGCTGAAAATGGACTTTTCCTACAGTTAGGTGACTAGAAAGTGAGCGTTCCATCCTATGTGTGACACCAACTATAATAAATAATAAAATGAAAACAAATACTAATAAAAGCATTAGGCAATACCATTTCAGTAACTAGTTCAAAGGTGAAATTACTTTCAGACTACAAGAAAGGGTGACAGGCAAATTATGGAAGCCCTTTGTCCACAAGACATTTATGTTGTGTTTTTGTTATTGTTAAGTGCCATCAAATCAGTTCCGACCCATAGCAACCCTGTGTAGGGTATCTGAAGAGTGGCTGGTGAGTTTTAACTGCCGACCTTGCAGTTTGAACAGCTGACCTTGCAGTTTGAACAGCTTTGCAGTCTGGCACATTAACCCACAGCACCACATCAGGATTCCAAGACACTTATAAAGGTGGGAAGAAACAAAGCCCACATGTGTGAAAATTTTACACTAAAGAGGGAAATGTGGTCTAACTAACAATAGATGTATTTACCCTGTGGTCAATGATCCCACTTCTCAAAATCTGAACCACAGATATTATTGTTAGGTACGTTGAGCCAAATTTATCTCATATTGACCCCATACAGTAGAACTGCCCAGTAAGGTTTTTCAGGCTATAATCTTTATTATAGGGAGTCCTGGGGTGCCACTGTAGGGTAAATACTGAACTGCTAATCACAAAATTGTTGGTTCAACTCCTTGGAAACCCCATACTGGGTCACTATGAGTCAGAAACAACTTGATGGTACTTAACAACAAAATCTTTATGGGAGCAGATTGTCACGTAGCCACTGTGTTTGAAGCGCTTACCTTTTGGTTAGCAACTGAATGCTTCCTGTTATGCAACCTGGCTCTATCTTGTTGTTATTGGGTGCCATTGAGTGGGTTCCTACTCACAGTACAACATAATGCAACCACTGTGCACAACAGAACAGAACATGGCCTGATGCTGGGCCATCCTCACAACTGTTGCCATGCTTTAGCCCATGGTTGTAGCAACTGCGTCAGTTCATCTCCTTGAGGGTCTTCCTTTTTGTTTCTGACTCTCTACTTTACCAAACATGATGTCCTTCTTCAGGGACTGATCCCTTCTGAGAACATTACTGATTATTTTCATAAAAGATTCTACAGAAGAATCCTGATCAAAATGGGAAAAGTACAGAACTTCAAATTCTCTGGAGCCATTAAGGTAATTTTGTCCTCCAAATGACATTTGGCAATATCTGGAGATAACGTTTTTAAGCCAAATAAGGGTCCTGATGTGGCACTATAAGCTAAGCACTTGACTGCAAAGTCAGCAGTTTAAACTCACCAGTCGCTCCTATAGGGCCCTATGAGTTGGATCTGACTCAATGGCACTTAACAACAACAAGGGTCAGTGGTACCTCTCCTTTCTCTCACATGCCTGGAGGTACCAGAAGTCTTGGAACCCTGGTGGTACAAATGGTTAAGAGCTCCACTGCTAAGTAAAAGGTTGGTGGTTCAAACTCACTCAGCAGTCTGGTGGGAACAAGACCTGGTGATCTGCTTTCAAAACTCTATGGGTCCTACCCAAAATGGCGGTGGGGGTGGAGGTGGGCTACAAAGGCAAGAAGTGACTGGCTTATAAGTTTTCAAGAGGGAACCTAGATCCAGAGGGCATGTAGGAAGGTGGAATCTCCACTGAGTAGTAGCCAATCTGTCTAGGGGGGGCTAATGAAAGGAAATTTGGATAGGTCTCTTGTGATATAATAGTGAATAATTGTTATCAGGACTGATTGTGAGGGTTTTAAATGTAAAGGTAGACGTTTTGTAGGAAGAAGGGGAGTGATTAACTTTTCAATCTAGGAGCAGAGGTCCCTGGGACCATCAAGGGAGAAGAGCCAAGAGCGGGACCCTACCCAGAGAAGCAGTGATGCTTGAGATGGAGGCAGAGACGATGACATGGAGAGATGGAGAAGCTGGGGACTTTAGACACAGAGAAAGAGAGGGGCTGTGTGCTGACGACCATGGGGCGGGGGAGGAAGGGAGGCAGGCTTATAGGATATACCCTTTAGTTGGTTGATGATGCATGAAGGGGATTGTAACCACAGCAATGAAACGATATACGATAGGATGAATGTAAAACTATTGTTCTCCCATGTAAACTATCACATAATTCACAGTAAAACATTTAAAAACAAAACAAAACAAAAAAACCCTCTATGGGTCAATTCTATTTGGACACACGGCATCATTATAAATTGGAATTAGCTCTGTGGCACCCAACAACAATAACCAGAAGTCTTTATTTAAGGAGTCTGAATTTTCCTTTGTTTCTTTTAAAGTAACCTTAAATTAATGCACTGGACCGCAAGGTTGGTTTGAATCACAAGGTCAGTGGCTCAAACTCACCAGCCACTCCTCAGAAATTCTGTACAGGGTCACTGTGAGTCAGAACCTAGTCTACAGCACTTAACAACAACAACAGAATAAGGATCCTAGTGACTGCATGTCTGCAGAGAAGAACTGTTCCCTAGAGTTTTCAAGGCTGTGACCTTTCAGGAGCAAATCACCAGGCCCCTGTCTTCAGGGGCACCTCTGAGTAGATTCAAGCTGCCCACCTTTTGGTCAGTAGTCAAGCACTGAATCAATGGTGTGCACCACCCAGGAACTCCACAAGGGGTCATCATGAGTCAGATGAACTCAATGGTAGCTAACAACAGCATCAGGGTCAGTACACTACAGCCCATGGGCCAAATCTAGCCAGTAGGCTGATGAGCTAAAAATGCTTTTGTGCATTTTTAAATGGTTGGGGAAATTTTTATTTAAAGAGTAGTATTTTGTGATTTGTAAAAATTGTTGCTGCTGTTAGGTGCCATTGAGTTGGTACCGACTCATAGTGATCCTATGCACAACAGAACGAAACACTACTCAGTCCCGTGCCAACCACACAATCCTTACGCCCAAGCCCATTGCTGCTGCCACTGTGCCAATCTATCTCATTGGGGGTCTTCCTCTTTTTCTCCGACCCTCCACTTTACCAAAAATGATATTTGTTTCATATCCTTTATAAAATTACACATATTCATTTCACATTTCAGTGAATAAAGTTTTATTAAATAAATCCATACTCATTTGTTTATGTATCATCTATGGCTACTTTGACAGAGTTTAATAGTTGTAACAGAAACCTGATGACTCATAAAGCTTAAATTATTTTTCGACTGGATTTTACAGAAAACGTTTGTTGACTTTTGCTCTGTTGTTTCTAAGTACCATCAAGTTGTTGTTGTTGTTGTTAAGTGCCATCGAGTCGGGTCCGACCCATAGCGACCCTGTACAAGGTTTCTGAGGGTGTAAATCTTTACGGGAGTAGAAAGCCTCATCTTTCTCCCGCGGAGCGGCTGGTAGTTTCGAACCGCTGACCTTAAGGTTCGCAGCCCGATTCGTAACCACTACGCTACCAGAGTACCCACTGTAAATTAGGGTTGTTGTCGTTGTTAGGTGCCATCGAGTCGGTACCGACTCATAGTGACCCTAAATACAACAGAACAAAACACTGCCTGGTTGGCACTCTCAATTCCATTTTTAAATAAGGAAATCAAGGTTTGCCCAAGATCACAGAGTTGGGGAAGGTTGGAGTAGGACTTGAGACCCAAGCAGCGACGCTCTAGTCCCAGTTACTTTCTGTCATATCACAGACATTTTAAAAGTCTTTCTCTGTCTCTCTATACACACAAACACACACATACATCTATCCACAGTTTGCAGGACCAGAAACGGGTGAGTGGGTGGTCTCAGGGAGTAGGGTCAGTGACAGAGAGGGGTCTAGGATCTCACCTTCCAGAAAATCCAGAAGCCACTGAACCAGCCAAGGAGAACTTCACAGATAAGTATGGTCAACACAATATTATCCATGATAGAGAACAATTCATAGTGTTTCTACATGGGAGACAGAGAAAAAGAGCAGGAGAGAGGTCAGTGGAGTTGGCCTTGGGCAAGGCCGAGGGAGAGAGGATGCCTGTTGAGGAAGACACAAAGAAAACTGGAAAAGTTAAAGAAAACAGAGGTAAATACTGCTATATACACAATCCTGCAATAAAACAGTGATCTGATGTAGTGCTTTAGAATAAACACCAGACTGCTAACCACAAGGTTGGTGATTCAAACCAACCAACTGTTCCTTGGAAACCCTATACAGGTTCTCTATGAGTTGGAACCCACTTGGTGGCACTTAACAACATGAATAGATGCATAGGCTGAGCAGGTGTGGGAAGGAGAAAGGGAGTCTACCTACAAATATATAAAGGTTTGGCAGAGGCTGTTTGTACATGGGTGTTTTACCTTTGCTGCTAACATGAATGTGGTGCAGCAGTGGTTGTTGTTAAGTGCTGTTGAGTTGGTTTTGACTCATAGCAATCCCATATAGGGTTTCTGAGAAGCAGCTGGTGGATTTGAAATGCCAATCTTGCAGTTAGCAGTACCATGCTTATCTTACAGTGTGCTACACCAGGACTCTGTTGTATACAAGGGGCAAAATTTTGAAAATGTCTTAGACATTACCAAATACCTTTGAGGAATGAGTTGCCGGGCCTGGGGATTCAGGATCATAGTCTTGTGGGACACCATGGTCCATTGGTATAACACAGTCCAAAAAGACAATTGTATTTCAGTGAGTAGCTACTGGGATCTTAAAAGCTTAGCTGAATAGCCATCTCAGTGCAACTATTGGTCTCTCCCTATGCAAAGCAAAGAAGTTGTGGTTGTTATTAAGTAAACTTGGTTCCGACTCATAGAGACCCTATGGAGAGTTTCTGCTGATCTTGCAACTCAAATTAACTTTGCAATCAGTGCATTACCCAGCAGTGCATTACACACCAGGACTTCAAATATTGGTCTCTTCCTGTCCAAACCAAAGAAAAGAGATGAAAATTGAAGACAGTTGGAAACAATTAGTCCAGCGGACATCAATCTCTGGATGGTGCCTGGCTACTCTACCAACTATTCTGAAAGGGATCACATTAGAAGGTCCTAGATAGAGTGGGAGAAAATGTGGAATGAAACTCAAAAGTCACAAATGGGGAGAGTTTGCAAAATGATAAAATTCAGAAGAAAGGGGAAAGAAAGAGAAATGTAAACAAGAAATAAGTGAGGAAGTGGAAAAAGTGATAATACATTGAAGGGATTACAACTGAGATGAGACGAAGTGTAAGATTTGTTGAATGTGCAACTGTTGGTCTTCTCTGTAAGTCTTCACTCAATTCACAATAAAAAGTTTTTTTTAAAAAAGGAGGATAATGGAATTTTCCCAGGAGCTTTTTGAAGTCCCCTTGTACATCATTTCACATTATTTATCATTTCCATTATCCTAAAGCAGGGGTGGGGAATGTTTGGCTGGCGGGAGGAATTATTTGGTCTGGCCCTGCCAAGGCAACCTCAATCCAGCCATCACATTGTTGTTGTTGTTAAATGCCATCGAGTTGGTTCCGACCCACGAGACCCTGTATAGGGTTTCCAAGGAGCAGCTGGTGAGCTTGAACTACCAACCTTGCAGTTTAAACGGCTTTGCAGTCTGGCACATTAACCCACAGCGCCACACCAGGACTCCATCACATTGTTGTTATTAAGTGCCGTCGAGTTGATTCCGACCCATAGCAACCCTGTATAGGGTTTCCAAGGAGCAGCTGGTGAGCTTGAACCACCGATCTTGCAGTTCAAATGACTTGCAGTCTGATGCATTAGCCCATAGGCCACACCATCACATTAGAGGTGAGTTAATTAAATGTTTGACTAAATATAGAAGGCTACTTTTTTTTTAAGTAGATAAATGGTTTATTGTTTCTTTTTTTTTTTTTTTTTTAAAGCTTAGGGTGTGTCTTACAAATATACACACTTTTTTTTTTAAGGTACATTGTACATAGTTTTCCATACTCTTAATTTTTTAGTTAACAATGTGTGCTGGATATTTTTTTCATGCAAATATATGGAGATCTATCATAATTGTGCTTCAGTTTTTTTTTTAAGTTGATAAAGTTGTATGGCCTGCAAATGATATAAATTTGGCAGCAAAAAGGTTCCCCACCCCTATCCTAAAGAGTTGAAAAAAAAAAAAGAATGTCTTTTTATTGTTGTTGAGAATATACACTGGAGAACATAAACTGATTCAATAATTTCTACATGTACAGTTCAGTGAAATTGATTACATTCTTTTACTTGTGTAACCATTCCATCCTCTTTGTCTAAGTTCTTCTGCTCCCATTTGACATAAACTCACGACCCCAAAGTTTCCTGTCTAATCTTTCAAAACTGCTGCTGTCAACGTGATCCCATCTAGATAGATACTAAAAGAGTTCAGTGCTCAAGGCAGACATTCTTTACTAGTTAAATTGAATTATGACTTGGTTTTAAGAAGACTTCAGGAGATACTTTGGTTTAAGGGTTAAAGATGATGGTAGGGTAATCAACCAGTCTCAGTGGTTCCAGAAAGTTTGGAGTCAATGAGAATATGAGATTCTTTCCTGCATTTCACTCTTTTTTCCCTTTTTATCACGAGTCTGCTACAGAATCTTTCATTTAAATGTTTAGTAATGGTAGCCAGACATCAACCATCCAGTTCTCCTGATCTCATGGCAAAGGAGGCAGTTGTTCATAGTGACAATATAAGCCACACATCCCATTTCTCCTCCTATTTTTGTCTCTCCTTCTTCCTCTGTTGCTCTAGGATGGTGAATAAAGACCAATTGTAGCTTGTAGGGCTGCTTTCAATCTTTTAAGACCCCAGGCACAACACAATGAACTAAGAGGAGGAACCGAAGCATTGCACACATAACTAGGACAATTAACTGGATGTCTTATGAAACCATGACCCTAAACATCCAAATCAAGGCACCAAATCCCATGAGGATTTTGGTTATATATAAACAAGAACAGCGCTATTTTTTTTTTTTTTTAACCATACTTTTGTCAATTCAACTTCTCACAGGTATACAACTGCAGAGTAGATTTATTCCCATTTTACAGATGAAGAATCAAGAGAGGTGTCCAAGGCCACACAGCTAGTTGATAAAGATTCTTAGCTGACTATAAACGTGTGCTCCTAACTACTATCATCAGCAGTTACTATTGAGTTGATTCTGACTTATGGCAACCCCATGTGTGTCAGAGTAGAACTGTACTCCATGGGATTTCCACTGACCAGGTTTTTCAGAAGTAGATTACCACCAGTACTTTCTTCTGAGATGTCTCGGGTGGACTTAGACCATCAATTTTTTGGTTAGCAGTGGAGTGTGTTAGCTGTTTGCACCACTCAGGGACTCCTTACCTTCTAGAGCAGGGATATTTGGAAAAGGAAGGTAGGGGAGAAAAGCACTGGGCCTGAGGATGGAGGACATCAAGCCCTCTTAGACTGTCTCAACCACTCCTGCTGCTCTAGTTCCTCACACCCTCCAGGCCAGGCCTGACCAAATTCCTCATCCTCTGACTCATAATTCCTAGATTAGTACCCTGAATGGGGGATTAAGTATTGGGCTGTTAACCAAAAGGACGGCAGTTCAAACCCACCAGTTACTCTGCAGGAGAAAGATGAGGATGTCTGTTCCTATAAAGATTTGGTCTTTGAAACCCTATGGAGCAGTTCTACTCTGTCCTATGTGGTTGTTATGAGTCAGAATCAAATGAATGGCAGTGGGTTTTACCCCAGATGGATGGATTGACAGATGTACAGCTGTAATTTGTCCAAACCCATCTCATTTTCACTTGGCCTTCTATACTCTCTCATCACTCTCTTCCCAGGCAATTCCATCCATTTCCTTAGCTTTAGCAACTATCCACCTCTATGCAGGCAACTCTTCTACTTTCTACTCACATCTGCATCTCCAGCCATTGCTCTCTACAGGTTTTCAGGTTTTACCTCCAACCCCAGGGTCTCTGTCTGCATATTGCACAGGTACCTCAACACAGAACAACTCAACCTGACCCAGCATCATCCCCACACCTGCACTTCGTCCTATGTCCCAACAAACTACACTAGCCTGATATTTGCTCAAGTCAGAAAAGTAACTTTTTACTCTTCTTTTCTGTACATGCATGAGATGATGGAATAAGTTAAATACAATAGCACAGTGCTTGGTACACAATGTCCACTAAGCATTAGCTATAAATAAAAATCAATCAGAAGGCCCATGGATTAGACCTCTACAGACTTCCCAAATGCATTTGACCTCTTTTCACTCATTGCCACATGCCCGTGTCCCACCTAACCATCTGCACTGGAGTCCTGCCTAGTCTGTCTTCTATCCCTGGCTCCCTCCCTCCCACAGTTCATACTGTGACAGTCCATCTAATTTTTTTAAATACATGTTTGATGTTACTTCCATGCTTTCTACTGACACCAGGATAAAAGCTATTCCTCAATATAATGTAAAGACCTCACCGGATCTGATCATTGACCATATATCTCACTGAACTCATTAACCATTATACTGGCTTTAAAAAAAAAAAAAAAATATTGATTTTAAATAGCATAATACATGTATGAGGACAAGTAAATGTATTGCTACTTGGGTTCCATTTCATACATGCATGGATTTATTCCAAACAAAACATGTTTAAACATGTCTCTGGTCTGTGAATGGCTGCAGATAACTTGTCTCAACTATTTGAGTCCATTAGGGTACCTTCAAGAAGAAAAAAAAAGGTTATTTTTTACATTATGGGGAAAAGATTATTTTTGAGGTCAGGACTAATACCAAATTTTAACAAAACTCAAGTGGACATCTTCCCAAGTCATTATTGAAACTATCCAACAAATTCATGGGAACACTGCCTACATAAAACAACAGTTTTTAGATGACAGTTTTAGCATTTTAAGGAAGGTTGAGAAGACCTCAAAGATGAGCCAAGAAAGAGAAGACCATCAACCTGTACAAAAGATGAAACTGTGGTTGAAGTTCAGAAACTGATGGAAGAAAACCGTACACTTACCATTGATGTAGTGACTATTAAAGTTGTGATCTTACATCGTTCAGCATTTTCAATTGTAAGTGAATATCTTGGCCTCAGCAAGCTTCCAGATACATGGATGCCAAAAGTGATGTCTGAAGATCAGCTAGCTCAAAGAGCTGATCTTTCCATCAGTCGTTTAAGCAAGATTGAAGTGAATGAAAATGATTTTATGAAATGAATCATAACTAAGGATGAGTCTTTGATTTATCAGTATGATTCAGCAAGCAAAGTCTAATTAAAACAGTGACTTGAGGGGGCTGTGCTGGGCCACTTAAATGTAAAGCAGACAGGTCAGCTGAGAAGGTAATGGTGCCTGTTTTTTGGGACTCTCAAGAGAAAGTCTAGACAGATTTTCTCAAAGAACATAGCATATTAATGGAGACATATTGTTGTTGTTGAGGAGCTCTGGTAGCGTAGTGGTTACGAATTGGGCTGCGAACCATAAGGTCAGCAGTTCGAAACTACCAGCCGTTCCGCGGGAGAAAGATGAGGCTTTCTACTCCCGTAAGGATTTACACCCTCGGAAACCCTGTACAGGGTCGCTATGGGTCGGAACCGACTTGAAGGCACTTAACAACTAACAACATTGTTGTTGTTAGTTGTTAAGTGCCTTCGAGTCAATTCTGACTCATAGTGACCCTATATGGGGTTTCCAAGGAGCAGCTGTTTGCTTGAACCCTGGACCTTGTGCTGATCCTACAGCGCCACAACAGGACTCTGGGGAATTATTAGGAGGCAGTTTTAAGAAGTTCTTGAAAACTGCAATGGTGGGAAAAAGGTGAATTGCATAGAGAAGTTTTTTTCCATGACAACAATGCACCTGCACATTCTTTGAGAATTTCACCAGTCAACAGTATCCTATCCACACTACCGCCCTAATCATGCTTCTTTAAACTTCTTCTTGTTTTTCAAACTCAAAGAATATTGAAAAGGAATATGATATAAGTTCCTCAAAGATACCGAAACTGCTGACATAGTATAAATCGAAGAGTGTACAATTCTTTGGGAAAAGGTTAAGAGAAGGATATCATGTTTGGTAAGGTGGAGGGTCAGAGAAAAAGAGGAAGACCCTCAGAGAGATGGATTGGCAAAGTGGCAGCATCAATGGGCTCAAGCATGGCAACAATTGTGAGGTTGGCCCAGGATCAGGCAGTGTTTCGTTCTGTTGTGCATAGGGTTGCTATGAGTCGGTACTGACTTGATGGCACCTAACAACAGCAAACCTTTCAGAAATGTATAGTTCTGGATGAAGGATATGTCAAAAAACAGTAGTTTCACATTTCGATATTTTTGTTTAATAATGATTCTGATTTTGTAGCTGTACTTTTTTACTTACCCTGTGGTTAAGTGTTTTTAAAAATTAGGCTGACTGTAAGAACTTGAGGATAAGCACCAGTCTACAAACTGCAAGGTTGTCAATTCAAACCCACCAGCTGCTCTGTGGAAGAAAGATGAGTTTTTTTCTGCTCTTATCAAGATCTACAGCCTCGGAAACCCTATATAGGGTCATTATGAGTCAGAGTCGACTCAATGGCATTAGGTTTGGTAAGAAATTACAAAACAGAGGAGGTTTGGTTGCCTTCTTTAAGCTCCCATATACTCTGTGTAATACTCAGGCATTTGTAATGACATGCTTGTATCTGTCTGAAACAGGAAGTGGGTCAATTGTGCTCTTCCTGGAATGCTGACATGCAACACAATGTCTGGCACAGACTGAATCTTTGTTGATATCTGTTAATGAAAATTGGATATCATTTCCTAATTTACCTACCTCTGCTCACACCATTGCTCTCCCAGTAGAAATCCACTGTATTTCTCAAAACTGGGCTCCAAAGCCCCTTCTACCTTGATCTTCTAGAACCTTAGAAGGTCTGAGTTGACAGTCCTTAAAGAATATCTAATCAATATCATGGGCAGATAAGGAGCCAGAGACTAAGATAGCGAAGTGGCTTGCCTCAGGTCTTCCAGCAGAGCAAGAAGAGATCATATTAGTGTCCCACCTGTTCTTGGTCGGCGTTGGTGCGGATAGCGATGGAGATGGCATTGACCACCAACAGCAGGGCCAGCAGCAGCTGGAAGGCTGGGTGTTGAAGCAGCCGTTTGATACAGATGCGCATGAACACTTGCATGTCCCAGGCATCCTGGGAGAGGGCAGAGGACTTTCTTCAGGCAGGCGTCGCTGTAGGAGGCCTCTGCCTGGACGTTTCTCTCAGGGAATGGGGGTCCCTGGGGAGGCCACTCTAGGGGAGAAGTTACCTGAGGGGGGATCATAGAATGGGGGCATCAGTGTAGAGGTCAGTACCTAAAGGGCTCCTAAAGGGTCCTTGCTATGGGTTCTTTATGGAGATCATCACAGGAGTTCCTTTTGGAGTCTCTACTGGTGTGGTGCTGTGAGTTAATGTGCTGGACTGCCAGGTCGGTTTGAACCGAAAAGGTCGGTGGTTCAAGCTCACCATTCGCTCCTTGGAAACCCTATACAGGGTCACTGTGGGTTGGAACCGACTCAATGGCACTTAATAACAACAACAACACTGGTAGATGATTTTGGAAGCTCTCATGTGGGGAGTCTCTGGGGGCACTGCTAGTTGGTTACTAATTTAGCATGGGGGGTAGGTCACTGCAAGGATCACTGCTGGGAAGGGTCTTCTGGAGGGATGTTAAGGAGGGAGGGTGCAAGGCCACCATCTCATGGGCACAGCTACAAGGAGCGTCATTGTGGGGGAGGGATCATTGCGGGCCCAGCCCCATCCTGCCCTCACACTGTTACTATTGATATCCCAACGATTGATGAGTACTTGCTCCTCTGGCCGTGTGTAGGAGTCATGAGGTGCCTTCTGCAAGGTGAGAAGAGGACCCATCAGTGCAGTCGGTGCCCTCCCGTACTCCACCCTACTCCAGAGTATCTGGTTCCAGTGGAGTTGAGCCAGAGCCACCTACCAGGATGGACAAAGGTTTGATACGGGTGGTGTCTGTCCATTGCTCCCACCAGACCCTTCGAGTGTTGCTCATTGCTGCTCAGTCTCCTACTCTTCAAAGAAACCTCATTCCAAGTGGCCTAGCTCCCCCTTGTGGTGATATCATAGAGACTTCTGTGACCTCTACATTCTAGCAAGAAATTCCAACCCTGAGAGAAACTCCTTCCATTGTTCTCCTCTCTACCCCATAAAGGAAGCTAGGGACAGTGAGGGGTTGGCCTGAGGTTACAGGCTGATAGGTCAGGTCTCTAGTGCAGCCTGAATGATGGAGACAGGAATGTGTCCCTGCTCTGGTTCTAGAAGCTGGAGGTAAGGCTGGACTGAGGGGAGAAAAGTCTCTGGCCCAGAGCTTTTCTCCTAGCAGAACGCAAACTACATGCCTCCCCACCAGTTACAGCAACCCATGAGCCCCACCTCTAGGGCTGCCCACCATGCCCTCCATGCATTGGCACCCTTCTCGATGCCTCAGTTTCCCCATTACTCTATCCCCTGGGGTGAAGTTGTAGGAGTGTACCATCTGGGAGAGATGAACATGGGTAAAAGTCTTCACCAGCCATGGACCTTGAATCCCTCTTCTGGATAGACCTAGAGCTCCAGGGATGGAGCCCAAACCACTAGGCCACACAATAGCCCAGCCACTTTTTGTCTAAGATCATTCACCGAAGTCTGACAACTTTTCATCCCATTCCCTTCTAGGGAACAGAGTCCTGATTACAATATGGAAATCAAAGGCACATGAAGATTCATTTTAGAGAAGGTGACTTTATTTGGTAGAAACATGTCTCTGTGAGATGAAGAATGCCTGTAGTTTTGGGGAGGGAGAACTGTAAGGACTGAGGAGGGCAGGGTTATGTCTCCTAGGTTTTAGCCTAGACTCCCTACTCCTTCTTTGGCTAGGGAGGAAAGAGTAACACAAAAGCTCATTTTATTTTACCCTACTTCCAGGAGCCGAGTGGGTCAGCTTGGGGTGAAACCATGAATCAGTGCTGTTTCCAACCTCAAACAGAACTCAAGGATGCTCTGTCCTAGATAGGTAACAATCACATGTCAGAGGCTGGGGCTTGATGTTGTCCTCAGGGTCAGAGGTCAGGACATTGGAGGCTGTTCTTTAGGGACAGAGGGCAGGAGATAGGAGTGCTCCTCAGGGTTAGAGTGTGGGGGACAGGAGGACTGTTCTTCAGAGTCAGATGTTAAGACTTGAGAGTTGTCCTCAGCCTGCATCCCGCTCCAGGTCCCCAGGACCTCTGTGTACAGCTCCTGATTCTGTTCCTTCCATCGTCGGTACTTCTCTCCTGTCAGTTCTGGGTCACCAAGCACTTCCTCCAGGACCTGTAGCTCCTGCATCTTTGCCTGTGAGGGGAACAGGAGGGAACAGTCCAAGCCTAGAGCTAACCTTGGAGTCTAGCATCTAAATCCAGCACCTGTCCCAGTCTAACCCACATTTTTGAATCTAGAGTCTAGTATAGGAAGACTTGGTGAAAGGTCACATCCCAGCTCAGAACCTAGAGGTCCACCCTCCCACTACCTCCCCCTCACTCCCACCCCAGCTGAAACCAGACTAGAGCATGAAGCCCAGAGCTGAGCCTGAAGTCCAAATCCCATGGTGGAGGCTGGGAGCAGGAATCAAAGCCTGAATCCCAGAACCCAGCCCCTTGCCATGCCTGGCTCCCCGATGCTGACCTTGAGTGTGCTCTGTAACACCCGTACTCGGTGTGCCTTCTCATTGAGATGGGGTTCTCGGTTACGCCGCAGGAAGGAGCTCCGCCATTGCTCATGGGTGACTGGTTGTGGTTGGCCCAAAAGGGACACACCACCCTGCCTCAGCCCCTGTACCATTCTTTCCAGTGCCCCATCACTACTATCTGTGGAGGGAGGGAGCAGGATGTGAGTGTTCCCACTCCAGACCTCATCCCAGCTCCAGCCCCAGCATAGCACCTGTTGGAAGACCAAAGGAAGTTCTTGGGCTGCTCTGAGTGGAGCTTGGTGCCAGTGCTGTGTCTCCATGGAGGGGACTCCAGGTTTGGGCTGGGCTGGGCTGCAGGTAGGGCAGAAGATGAGGATAATTAGACTGAGTTCCACACCCCACTCTTCACCCAGCACCTCCGACTCACACAGGCCCCTTACTCACTGAAGCTGAGCGAGACCCAGCTTCATCATCAGGATCTTCTACTTCAGTCTCACTGTAGCAATCTGGGGTAGGAGGAGCAATTGAGGAACCTATTAAACCTTATAGGGTTTGGGAAGGCCAAGTGATGGGCTAGGGCATCTGAGTTTCCAGCCTTTGTTCTAGGAAAGGTGGAGGTTCAGGTGAGACTCAACTTCCTTTTATTAACTCCTATGAGGTACTTACCTTCCTCTCGGGATGCAGTGGCCCGCCCTGGAGAATGGTACTTGGAAATACAGGTAATGAGATGACGCACCCACCTATGGAGAAGCGAGTGGATCTCAGGGAGACTGAAACTGCAGTCATCAGTTTTTATTTACACCCTAGAGGCCTGGTGTGGTGCTGTAGGATAATGCATTGGACCACAAGGTTGATTTGAACCACAGGGTCGGTGGTTCAAACCCATCAGCTGCTCCTCGGAAATACTATACAGGGTTGCTATGAGTCAGAACTGACTCGACGGCACTTAACAAAAACAACTATAGGCAGAAAAGGAGCACTGGTAGCAAAGTAGGTTAGAAGCTGGGCTACTAACTACAAAGTCAGCAGTTTGAGTCTATCAGCCACTTGCTCTTTGGCAGAAAGAAAAGGCCTTCTGCTTCTAGGATATACAGCCTCAGAAACCCTATACAGGGTCACTAATTGACTTGATGGCACACAACCACCAACAACCAACTGTAGGCCAAAAGGAATCCTGGTAGTGTAGTGGGTGAAGCACTGGGCTGCTAACCATAAGATCAATGATTCAAACCAGCAGCTGCTCCACAGGAGAAAGATGTAGTCTGCTCATCAACATCTACAGTCTTGCAAACCCTAGGGAGCAGTTCTACTCTGTCCAACAGGGTAGCTCTGAGTCGGAACCGACTCGATGGCAGTGGGTGGGTGTATTCCAAAGAGTCCTGGGGGCACAAAACAGTTAAACACTCGTTTACCAACTAAAAGGCTGGTGTTTCAAATGCACTCCGTGATTGCACGGGAGAAAGACCTGGTGATCCGCTCTAATAAATTATGGCTGAGACAACCCTAGGGGCACATGGGATTGCTGCGAGTTGAAAATCATTGGATGGAACCTAACAGCAGCAACAACACCACTGTATGCCAGAAGCTTTGCACCCACATCACCTTCTACTTCAATCCTGAACAACTCTGAGAAGCAGGAAATTCTTAGTCTACTTTTTAGACGATGAAACTGGGGCTAAGAAAGGTAAGTAAATGCCTCGATCAGCCATTATCAGACCAACTCACCAGCCCAGACTCCCAGGCACTCAGAGACTGGTAACTGGGGTGGCAGGGAGGGGACACTCACATGCTCAGATCAGCCAGGGTATCAGCAGCAAAGATGAAGGGTTTGTACACACTGTGGGTGAGCTGGAACACACTGCCAGGGGACAGAGGGGCCACACTCAGCCTGCCTGTGCCCATCCAGAACTCAGGCTAGACCAGGAAGCCCAACCTCCCAGCCCTTCACAACCCAGGATTTACTATTTTTTCTTCTGATCCTGTCCACTTTCCAGGCTGTAGTTGGAGACATTGATGAGACCCTCGGCCTTCTCATCCTAGAGGGTTCACAGTGTGAAGGTCAGCTGGGAACCTCAATACTCTTGAGGCCTAGGCAGGCTCCTAGTTACCCCTTGGGTCCCTGAGGCCAATGGGGGTAAGAGAGAGTCTTCCTGGGCTCTCTAAACACAGTCATTTAATACTTAGGACTCAGGTAGGACTGGGGTAGGGAAGGCAGTGTGGCTAAGGGGAACCTCTGAGCCAAGAAAGGGGAGCTCCCTGATACCGAAATAGACGGGGCCTGAATTATGCATTTGCTCCCTCCACAGACACAAAAGAAGCTGCTCCAACCATTGAACTTTGCAAACCCTGTGCCCATGTACTGGGGAGACGAGCGTCTTTCCCTTCTTCCCATCTGACTCACCCCAGGCATCACTTTCTCTGGAAGCCTTTTTGACTCCTCAGAGTGGACTGAACACCTCTGCTGGGCTCCCACATGTCCATAAGCTTTTCTTTCATCATAGCATTATCCCCTACAATGTCCCCAAGTATACATGCATCTCCTTCCTCTCTCAGTCTCTAAGTCCCAGAATAATTGGGACAGTCCAGTTCTGTTTTGTATCTCTCCCCAGTGCCCAGCCCAGAGCTGGGCACACAGTAGGTACCCAGATGTTTGTTGAATGAATAAATGATTGAATAAATAGCCCATCACTGAGATGGACAGAATAACAGAAAAGGAAGAATAAAGATCATTCTCTCATGCCTCTTGAGATATCCTTTACAAATTGCTGTGACACACAAACTCATCTCACCCTATGGAGTGTTCCTATTTGACAGATGGAAACACTGCCCCCCACCCCCCCACCCCATGACTACATATGGGAGTGGGTAGTGGAATTGGGACAAGAGCCAGGTCCTGAGGTGACTTGCTTGCTTACCCTGGGGGAGGAACTCACCTGGGGCTGGTGGTACCAGTAGAGAGTATGTCCCTTGAGCACAAACCAGCAGCGGCGCCAGCGTGGGCCCATGAAGCCGCTAGGCACCTTGCGGAGTAGTAACCAGCCATCACAGTCAGGCTGGCCCAGCTCCCTGCATGACACCCGCCGGCGGCTCAGCCGTGTCGCCACACCTGTGCAGTACAGCATAGCCAGGGTGGTGAAGGGCTGAGAGGTGTCCTGGATGCCTAAGCCTGTTCCCTGGCTCTCCAGGAGCACCTCCAACTGATCAGAATGTTACACATATCGTCTCTGAGGTGGGGGTGACTCTTCCCATTTTAGACACGAGGAAACCAGAGACCAAAGAGGATAAGCCTTGGGTCAAAGTCACAGAGCTGGCCCAGGCTGGGAGCTGTGGGAAGTATATATGTGGGGCTGTTTGGAGGGTCTGGACCAACCCTGTAAAGATTCCTAAGACTTTTTCTACATGGGATCCCTTGCCCAGACCGGCACATTTCATACCTTTTGATTTCTTCCGACCAGGGACAGGACTCTGAAAGGACAATAAATGGATTAGAGACAGGTCTAGGTGCAGAGCTCCCCCATGCTCCTTGCTGAGTCCTGAGCTTACCTTGTCAGGGTGTCCTGAGGGTTTCAGAGTCTCTATTGTCCCTGATGAGAATGTGGCTATGGACACAGGGGAGATGGGCGTGGGTTCAGGATCGAGGGAAGCAGAGTCTATTGGGGAGAAAGGAAAGAGGGAGAAGGTCCTGAGCCCAGTGTTATCACCTGGGGAAAGGGCAAGTTTAGGAGGTCAGAACCAGGCAACTCAGATGTGTTGCCTGGGACATTACCACCTGGGGATGTAGGGCTTTGAAATTACCTGCCCAGGCAGGGGTGGGCTCAGGATTTGTGCTTGAAGTCAAGTCAAAGGCAAAGATTTCTTCTGACTGGGCCCTGAAGAGAGCAAATGGAGATGAGATGCGCCAGCGATTCCCACACTGAGACATGCGCCCAAGACAGAGCCTGTTACCTGGGAGACAGTGGACCCAGAGCCAGTGATTGCAAGGTGTCCAAGACCTGAGGAGCAGTCTGAGGAGCAACCAGAAACAAGATGATGGAGCTGACAACAAGAGTCCAAAACAGAAAGGGAGTGGGGGTGGATGGGAACGGTGGGAGACAGATACCTGTGGGGGGTTCTCAGGCACTGGGACCTTCTTTAGTATTAGGCTGGTCCCACCTGGCTCCCGAAGCAGCTCTCTCACCACGTTCTTATGGGGCCAGCCCACCTGGGAGACAGGGCAGCAGAGATACACTGAGCTGGCGGGAGGCTCTGAGGCATCCCAACAACTCTTCCCTTCCTACTCAGAACTTGCTCTCAGCCTTTTGCTTCTGTCCTACCTTACTCCTCCAGGAAGTCTCCATGAGCCCTTCACCTTGACTCTGCCAAGCTATTCTGAGCTGACTCATCTCATGGAAAGCAGTCCCACAATTCTTGGCTCCCAGCAGAACCCTTAGTTTCCTCCGCACCCTGTACCAGCCCTGGGTTCTATGTACCCCACGTCCACCCCCATGAACTTCTCTGCCTCACTTACCACCACCTGATCATTGATCTGGACAACTTCGTCTCCAGGCAGGATCTGCAGTTGGGAGTTGGAGGGGACCTGCTGTAGGAAACGGGGTTCCAAGAATAAGCTTCCCTAGGTTTGAAGCTGGCTTGGTTGGCAGGTGAAAGAGCTTGGGGGTGAGTGACTGAAAAGGGTCAGTCTCTCACCTGGGGGCCAACTCGAGACACAAAGTGAAGACAGTTGCTGGTCGTGTGAATTTCCAGACCCTGCAGAGGTAGAAGAGGAATCACCAAGGGCTCAGGTAGTAGGGGCAGCAGGCAGGAGGCCTGCTGGGTGCCGGGACTCTTATGCAGGCTGACTGAGGTCAGAGCTGGCTCCAATTGGGCCCTGCCCCAGACTGCTGTTGACTCTGGCTTTGTTACTCCTCTCTGGGCCTCTGCTTCCTCCTCCGAGAGCCACAGGGAAACTGCATCAGTGATTTCAGAGGCATTAGAATTTTAGTAACTTTACTGAAGGGATAAGCAGAGATGGGGAGGGGAGGGGCAGGGCTGGTGGCTCTGGTTTCCCCAATTGGTCAAAGATTAAAGCAAATGACAGATGCTCATGTCACTTCCTCTAACTTGCTCCCGAGCCTCTGGGGCTGGAATGTGCCACCTGAGACCACCATGCTCACTCAGTCCCCTCAGGATTGGGAAAGTGCTGAAACCTGATGAGCCTGATTAAGTCCTCTGGGCCTCTACTTTAATATCTATACAAAAAAGACTTTTCAGTTGGAATAATCGAGATTCCTAGAACTATATTTCAGAGCCCAGAAGAGACAACTGAGGGGTCAGAGGTGGGAGGTCAGATGCCAGGCCTTACCAAAGGCTCGTCCAACTGCACCTGCTCTAGCACGGCCCTCTGTGCCAGCAGCTCTTCAGGGCTGCAGTTCAGGATATTGTGGCAGATGCCCACCAAGTGGCTGCACTAAAAGATTCAAACAGGGTGTGTGTCCAGCCTGCGCCTGCTCCCCCACAGTCCCTGCTCCCCTTCTCCTTCCTAGACTTACAATTCTCAGGACTCGGCTCTCCTTCTCAGCTGCTGGGCAATCCTGAAAACAGAGTGAGAGGTAGGAGCCACACTGAGTAAGAGGGGCTGCGTCCATCTGAGAGAAAAGTGGGGTTCCCTACAGTCTCTCCCCACTCTCTGGCTCCTCCCAGAATTTACGGGAACCCCTGAGCTTTGACTGCTAGGCTTCCTCCACTGAGACCAGACCCCCAGAAGTCACTGCACATGCCCTTCCCTCCCACCTACTTTGAAGTGTCAAACAACTGGGGTCCCTGCCAGCTAGGAGCCCAATGCCACCACCGACCTGTACCCAGTAGCTGGACTTCCTCTCTTCCTGCCCTTGCCGCACCCTCGCCCTCACACCTGACCCTATGCTGATTCACAGGTTATAAAAAGCTCTAGCCCAATTTGGTGTCTATAGCCTGGGCCAAGCTGGCCGTTGGATCCCCTACCTCCTGCAAGGCCTGACCCAGCTCTCCACACAACTCTCCAATCTCCTGGCAGGCTGAGAAGTCATTTAAGTGGGAGAAGAGGTACCTGACAGGGAGACAGAGCAGTGATTAAGGGACTGTGCTTAACAATAAAGCCACGTCACCACTTGCCTGCTCTAGGCACTGGGGATGCAGATGTGACACACATCATTATGTCAATAATGATTTCATGCCAACTGGAGGGAGTACTATAGAGTACAGGGAGCTCTGAGGGTGTCACAGAGAAAGCAGACCTGAGGAGGTGACATTGGAGTTAGACCTGTAGGATGAGCAGAAGCAGCTAGTGAAGGAGGTGAGGGAAGCATTCTGGTAATGACTATTGATATATCTGCTCTGACCACAAGCTAGAGGGGATCCAGGCATCAAAGCACTCATGCCTACACAGTGCAGTGCTGATGGACAATCCTGAAAATCCTGCTACTTTTGGACAAGAATCTTTCTTGTCTTTCTCTCCCATGCCCTTTGACACTTGGAGAAGACCAAGGATGAGAAGGGCCTCCCACCAGTCATCCTGACCTGTTGAGCCAGAAGAGGAGGGTGCGAGCTTCATGCACCAGCTCCACAGCTGCACTGAGGACTTCGGCAGGGGTCTCGGCACAGGTCCCTAGATGGCCTTGGGCTAAGCTCTGGAAAGCATGGGTTCCCGACAGCAGCCTCTCTGTCAGGCTTTGCAGGTTCTCCAGCTGTAGTCCAGCGCTCTGTGCCGATGATGGGGAAGGTCACTTCCTGCGCACTGACGATCACCCATCAGCAGCACTCAGGATGGTGGACGCTGTGGTCAGTGTGGCCACCACTCACTCACCAGAGCCCGGAGCTGTTCCACTCCATCCAGGATAAGCTCCTGATGACCCAGAGGCCACACGGTCAGAGCCTCCAGGTTCCGGGGGCAGAGCTGGAGCAGATACTTACCAGGCAGCTTCCAGTCCTCAAAGGGATAGTCCTGCAAGGAATCATCGAGGCCTGGAAGAAGCAAAACAGGGGTCAGCATGGAGGCTGTTACAACCCCTCTTGTCAGCTCCTCATCCCTGCAAAGCCCTTTTCCCTTCCATCTGCTCCTAACAACAACCCTGCACCCCAGGCTGTGTTCTACCCATATCATAGATAAGGCCATTGAATTGAGAAGTAGGCTAGTATAGGGTGATGGTGCTCAAAGGGTGGTCCCCATACTGGTAGCATCAAACTCACCAGGGAACTTATTAGAAATACAAATTCTCACACCCTACCCCAGACTTGCTGAATCAGAGACTGGGGGTGGAGTCCAGCAGCCTGTGTTTTAAGAAATTCTCCAGGGGATTCTGATGTTAACTCAAGTCTGAAGACTATTGACACAGAGGATAAGAACATGGGCTCTGGAGTTGCGCTCTTGTCCTATATTTGAGTAAGTGCCTCAGTTTCCTCAGCTGTAAATGGGGATAATAAAAGCACCTATTTTCCAATCATGGACTTCTGGTGTGAGCTGTAAGATCAGCACTGGACTATGAAGCACAAGGTTGGCACTTTAAACCTACCAGCTGCTCCTTGGAAACCCTATACAGGGTAGCTACAAATCAGAGCTGACTCGATGGCACTTAACAATATCTAATCATATCAGGCTCCACCACTCATCTGTCAGTGTGTTGTACTTTGGGGGCTTGTGTGTTGCTGTGATTCTGGAAGCTATGCCATGGGTATTTTAAATACCAGCAGGGTCGCTCAGCATTTCTCAAGTTGAGGGAACTGAACAAAACATTCAAACCTCGACTTGCGTTATTGAAGGATTCTCTTAGAAAATTATTAAATGATGCAGAAAGCATCAAAAAAAGATGGAAGGAATACACAAAGTCACTGTACCAAAAGGAAATGGTTGATGTTCAACCATTTCAAGAGGTAGCTGATCAAGAGCCAATGATACTGAAAGAAGAAGTCCAAGGCGCACTGAAGGCACTGGCAAAGAACAAGGCACTGGGAATTGAAGGAATACAAATTGAAATCTTTCTACCAAGTGAGGTGGCACTGGAGGCACACACTCATCTATGCCAGGAAATTTGGAAGACAACTACCTGGTCAACTGATTGGAAGAGATCCATATTTGTGCCCATTGCAAAGAGAGGTGACCCAATGGAATGCAGAAATCATCAGACAATCTTTTTGATATGCTATGAGAGTAAATTTTACTAGTAATACAGAATGGTTGTGACCATACATTGACAGAGAACTTTCAGAGGTTCAAGCCAGATTCAGAAGAGGATGTGGAACGAGGGATATTATTGCTGATGTTCGATAGATCTTGGCTAAAAGCAGAGAATACCAAAAAGATGTTTACCTGTGCTTTATTGATTGCGCAAAGGTTTTTGATTTTATGGATCATAACAAGCTATGGACAACAGTTCCTCCAGGAACTCCCTTCCCAAGGACAGTGAATGTATCTAGCTACCTCCCTCCCAAAAGAGCTCCATGTTGAGTTGCACATACTTTCGTCTTTGATTGTCTCATTTTCTCTACTCTATGAAGTCAGAACACTTAATCGTGCTCATGAGGAACCGGTACGTAGATTAAGAGGCAGTTGTTCGAGCAGAACAAGGGAACACTGAATTGTTTAAAATTAGGCAAGGTGTACGACAGGGTTGTATTCTTTCACCATACTTATTCAACCTGTGTGCCAAGCAAATAATCCGAGAAGGAGGGTTATATGAAGAAAAACGTGGCATCAGGATTAGCGGAAGACTCATTAACAACCTGCGATATGCAGATGATACAACCTTGCTTGCTGAAAGTGAAGAAGACTTAAAATACTTACTGAAGACCAAAGAGCACAGTCTTCAGTATGGATTGCATGTCAATGTAAAGAAAACAAAAGTCCTCACCACTAGACCAATAAACAACAGTCTCATCACTGGAGAAAAGATTGAAGTTGTCAAAGACTTCATTTTTCTCCGATCAACCATCAACACTCATGGAAGTGGCAGTCAAGAAATAAAACGATGTACTGCATTAGGCAAATCTGCAGGAGACCTTTTAAAAGTGTTGAAGAGCAAAGATGTCAGCTTGAGGACTAAGGTGTGCCTGACTCAAGTCATGATGTTTTCAATAACCTCATATGCATGTGAAAGTTGGATAGTGAATAAGGAAGACCATAGAAGAATTGATGCATTTGAGTTATGGTGTTGGAGGAGAATATTTGAAAATACCGTGGACTACCAAAAGAACAAATAGATCTGTGTTGTATGAAGTACATACAGTCAGAGTGCTCCTTGGAAGCCAGTAGTACGGCCAGACTTTATCTCTTGTACTTTGGACATATTGTTAGGAGGGACCAGTCACTGGAGAATGATTATCATTGTTTTGGTAAGGTGGAGGGTCAGAGAAAAAGAGGAAGATCCCCAGAGAGATGGGTTGGCAAAATGGCAGCATCAATGGGCTCAAGTGTAGCAACGATTGTTAGGTTGACCCAGGACCAGGCAGTGTTCTGTTCTGCTGTGTATAGGGTTGCTATAAGTCGGTGCCGACTCGTTGACACCTAACAACAACAAAAACAATCATATTAGGTTAGATTACATGATACATATCAAGTCCTTGGCCCATTCTCTAGTTTGCAGTAGTCAAAAGCAGCCATCATATTATTATTGCCATGACCCACAAGACTATAAGATTGGGTCACTGCCTGCCTCTTCAGCCTCTCCTCCCAGCAAACACACTACTTCAGATCCAGAGCACTAATTCCCTGTGGTAGTGGTGTGTTGTAGAGTAGGTTCCAAATCATAGTGACCCTATACAGCATCTCCAAGGCTGTAAATCTTTATGGGAACAGAAACCCTCATTTTTCTCCTGTGGAATGGCTGGCAGGTTTGAACTGCTGACTTTGAGATTAGCAGCCTGACTCCTAACCTGGTGTGGAGTTGTGGGCTAATGCACTGGACTGCAAAGTCAGTGTGAACTGCAAGATTAGGGGTTCAAGCTCACCAGCTGCTCCTTGGAAACCCTATACAGAATCACTATGGGTCAGAACCAACTCCAAAGCACTTAACAACTCCCTGTAGTTCTTGGAAAGTTCTTGTTTGCTTTAGGTTCATTACTGCTATTCCTTTAGCCTCCTTCACTAGGCAACTGGTGTGTGACCAATAGTTGTCCTTTATCCTGGTGTGGCTTTAGGAGCACTGGGCTGGCAGTTATGAGACTGCCGCTTCCTGGCTAGGGACCCTCCAGGAACTCCCTTCCCAAGGACAGTGAATGTATTTGGCTACCTCCCTCCCAAAAAAGCTCCATGTTGAGTTGCACATACTTTTGTCTTTGTCTCATTTTTCTTTATTCTGTGAAGTCAGAATTGCCTTTCCCATTTCTTGGATGGAAAAACTAAGGTCACAGAGCTGATGAGTAGTAGAACTGGGTCTGGAGCCCAGTCTGGGAGTCTGACTCCAGCCTGAATCCCTGCCCTTATGGGGCTTGGTCACCATGAACCTGCCCCCAGCAGCCTCCTCTGAGAGGAATTTCCTCACCTCCTCAGCTGTGGTCAGAAGGGCTTATTTCCATGGAGTCTGTCTGCCATTTATTTAAGCCTTTTGCCACTCGTTCGCTGGGGGGCTTGCTGAGGCTGGAGAGGGCGTCTCCCTGTTCCGGCTGTGCCAACCCCTTCAGTTTTCTCTCTTTGAAGAGCCTAAGAATGGGGATTTGATGCTATAGGATAAGCCCTGGACTGTGAACCACAAGTTGGCAGTTCAAACCCACCAGCTGCTCCTCAGACACCCTATACAGGGTCACTATGAGTCCAAGTTGAGTTGACTCTGTGGTACTTAAAAAGAACAAAGAAGTGTAGAGAGGGGAAAGAGACATCAAGGTGGGTCCTAGTCTAAAGCCTCTGAGAAAATCACTTCCTGGCTCTATGGTCAATTTCTTTCTCTGAAAAAACGGGTTTAATAACAGCCCATTGGGCCCCACGGCTCCGGGAAGATGGAGATAATGTGGGCGTGGACCCTGCTGGGGCCTCCTGTTTTCATTACACAAAACCCGGCCTCCCCATTCCCAGCCTGGTGGCCTTTTGGGATGTTGGTCAGATGGGGGACCTTCTTCTGGGTCCTTGGGCCCTCCAAGGTCATGTCGTCTGTTCCTCTGCCTAGCACAGTACCTGGTACATGGAAGAAGTTCTAGAAATACTTGTTGACTGACTAACCGACTGACAGACTCGGCAGGTCCTTTCCTTCTTCCTGCCCCTCTCACCTTCCCTTTTCTTCTTCCTGCCTACCAGGACCCCACACTTTCCTCTCCCCCAAGCCCGGCTCTGTATACCGGCCCCACCCACCTCTTAGCCAAGCTGCCACTTTCTCAGGGGTCCAGGTCTCTACAGGTTCCATGGCCGAGTCCCTCGGTTGAGTTCTGTGCCCTTTCAGTTCGGCCCTTGCAGGAATTTCCGCTCCCAGAGACCAGACTGGAGCGGGGCCGGGGCGGGGCCGGGGCGGGGCCGGGGCGGGGCCACTGCATACCTGAGCCCACGTAGCCCGCCAGGTGAGACTCTGCGACAGCCACTGGTCCACATCCTGTCCATCAGCAGAGATAACCCGCCTCCGCCCCGCCTTTTTCAGGTGTCCTTTGCTCCAGCATTTGGGCAGCTTGCCCAGCGGGCGGTGCCACTGGCAAGTGCGCCGGTGACCGCAGAGTTGACCTGGGATCTTGCCCCAAACTGTCTTCAAGTCACAGGGTGACCCTGGCTCCCAGGCTATTAGAAAAGGGGTCAAACAATGAGTGATGAGTGCAGCCATCCGCAAGGCAGAGGTTAGGGAGTCTTCAGCTTGTTAGCTGTGTGACCTTCGGTTAATTAATCGTAACTTCAGCACGTCAATATAAGTGGGTGTTGTTGTTGTTGTTAAGTGCCCTCGAGTCGATTCCGACCCATAGCGACACTGTATAAAGTTTCCAAGGAGCAGCTGGTGAGCTTGAACCACCGACCTTGCAGTTCAAACAATTTTGCAGTCTGATGCTTTAGCCCACAGCGCCACACCAGGAATCCCCTATTTAGAGGGCTGTTGTGCAATATCTGGATTAACAATTCTAAAACCTTTAAAATAGATTTGTAAACACATCCTTTTCGTTTTCAACATAGTCTTTGACACTTTGGTGATCTCTTAGAATGATGTTTTTAAAAGTATAATACAAAACATTAGTCAATCACAAAAGAACAAATAGTGTATGAGGCTGATGTTGTTATAAGTTAAGAAAAGGTTTTCTTGATAAAAGGAATGGTTACAGGGGAAGAGAGGAGGGCATTTTTCACAGGCTGGAGGAGGGTTGTTGTTAGGTGCCATCGAGTCAGTACCGACTCATAGAGACCCTGTGCACAGCATGTTCCATGGGTGACAGGGTAGTCAATATACAAGAGGGAGGTTAGCAGAGAAAAGAGGAAGATAGTGGGAGAAACAGGGAGGAATGCAATAGTTAAAGTGAATAGAGGTAAATATGTTAACGGTTGGTACATGGAGGGGGATTGCAATCATTGTAATGAAAAAAAGTATATTATTTATTGAATGTAAAACTGATGATCTACTCTATAAACCTTTATTCAATTCACAAGGGTTTTTTTTTTTTTAATGCTTATGTTGTTATGTGCCGTGGAGTCGGTTCCGACCCATAGCGACCCTGTACAGGATTTCCAAGGCTGTAAATCTTTACGGGAGCAGAAAGCCTCATCTTTCTCCCACGGAACAGCTGGTAGTTTCGAACTGCTGACTTTGCGGTTTGCAGCCCGATTCGTAACCACTACTACTTAAAACAGTGGCCCAAATGCTTATTCTGATTAAAAAAGAATGAAAACAGTCACCATTCCCTTTACCTTCACCCTCGCATGTAAGACTAATCTTGTCCTCTTGTGATCTATTTTTTCCTGTTGCTTTCAATTTGTCTGGCTCGAGAAGAGGAGACGAACATACAAAGGACAAAAATGTATTTGGATGCAGTAGCTCAAAGAGGGAACAAATCTTTACAGCGAGGATTATTCCCACCCCCTCCATACTCTGAGTAGACAGGGATGGGCAACTTGGACATTGGCTACCCAAAATGGGGGGACTACAAAAGCAAGAAGTGATGGTTTACAAGCTTTCCAGAGGGAGTCTAGATCCAGAGGGTGCGGAGGAAGATATTATCTCCACTGAGTAGTATCCAATCTATCTGGGCTGGGCTGATGAAAGGAGATGGGCATAGATCCCTTGTGGTACAATGGTGAATAATTGTTATCAGGACTGACTGTGATGGTTGGAAATGTAAAGGTAGACATTTTGTAGCAAAAGGAGAGGAGTGATTGACTTCGCAGTCTAGGAATGGAGGTCCCTGGAACCATCAAGGGAGAAGAGTGGAGTGTGAGACCCTACCCAGAGAAGCAGTGATGCCAGAGATGGAGGCAGAGATGACAACGTGGACAGATGGAGTGGCTGGGGGGCTCTAGAACCAGAGAGGGAGAGGGGCTGTGTGCTGATGACTGGGGTGGGGGTGGGGGACAGGCTTGTAGGGTATATACCCTTTGGTTGGTTGATGACTCATGGAGGGGATTGTAACCATGGCAATGAAACGATATACGATAGGATGAATATAAAGCTAATGTTCTCCCACGTAAACTATACATAAGTCACAATAAAACATTTAAAAAATATATTTGGAAAGATGGCAATACTTTATTATTATGACATGGCAACTGGCTTTCAAGTGGTTAATTATTATAAAGGTATTAAGACCTTTTGTGACCATTTAAAAAAATTATGAACATTTGAATTCTTAGATTTACAATTGATGATATTTTCACAAATGAAAAAATTTTAAACAAAAATTTCCCTCCCCCTCATGTAAGGAACAAACAAGTTGGCTTTGACATTACCTTAAGGAGACCAAACAAGAGCCCACTCCAAGTTTACAAGCATGAATTTGAGTGTCTTTGTCCACTGCTCCTCGGTGTTCAAGAAGGTTCTGATGCAATAGCATTCAACACCATCTCCAAGGTCTTCCATCTGTCCCCTCTCCACATCGATCCTGTAGGGCAGGCAGAGTCCCACTTTCTCAGCCTCTTCCTTGAATTGCTGCAAACAGTCCAGGAAAGCCACCATTGCAAGGTCAAACTTATCCAAGAAGACACTCTGCCCCTCAAAACAAAACAAAGGCAGTTCAACAGAGTCATCTGTTAGAGACTTCAGATAGGAATGGTTTCCACAGGGGATAAGTTGATATCTCTGAAATTCCATTCCCATTTTCTTGGAAAGGACAAGGAGCAGTAGAGCTGTCTGCCCCCAGGCAGCGCTGATTTCATTCCAGCTTACGGGAACAGTGGGGAGGCAGCCCAATTTGAAGTTATTGATGATGCCCAAAGGGCCTTCATACTGGATATCAAATGTCATATTGAAGATACTGGTTTTTGCCAGTTGGTCCAAGTGGATCTGGGTATATTTCAGCTGGTTCTCCAAGCTCCTCAGCTCATCAAACAATTCCAGTTCTTGACGTTTCAAGGCACTGCAGTCCCTCAGGTACTGTATCTCTTGCTGGTTCAGCGCTTCAGTCTCTGCCTGGGCTGCCTCGTGGTCTCTTGCTGCCTTTTTCCAGTTCTTCTCCATATTACCCAGCTCTTGGACTAGCCTTTCCTCTTCTAGCTCCAAATCCTTCAGCTCCTTCTGCAATGTTTCCATCTCATTCTCACCTGTTGTCAGTTCCCTGGTCTCCAAGCAATTTCTGTAGCTCTGACTCGTAGACTCTGTGATTGTGAGTTGGATGTCTAGCTGTTCAAGAAGGTTGTCAGTGCACTCCTCACACAGGGGGTGATCCATAGCTTTCTCACCAGAGAGGATGTCAAATATGTCTGCAGTGACCTTCTGGCTGCTTGTTCTCATGGAACTCAAATCCCCGAGTAGGATGAAGGGGTTGAAATTCTCCCAGGACATGGAAGTCTCCCAGGACTTCATGCTGTCATCAGGAAGGGGTCTGCAAGAGGCACCATCCTGTAGATTTGTAGTATCTGTTTCCTTCATGGAAGTAGGATCTTCCTCCTTGATTCCTCCAGACTTTCCTTGAGCCAAAGGGAGGAGTGGAACTGGTAGTTGTTGGGTGGTGCTGAGGCCCAGGGTCTCTGCAGACTTCCCAAGTTTCAGAGGCTGCCTGCAGCACTGGCACATGAATCGGATGGAGAACATACTGGAGGACATGATTCCAAGTTTCCTCTGACTCTCCAGTGACCTTAAACTCCGAGGTGAGTGCATCTCATCTAAGTCTCCAACTTAAAACCTTACCATGTGACACACTCCTTAGACACACCTTCTTTAGCTCCTTATGGGCAAGGAATTCTTCCTAGATGGAAAAGCTGTTCATAATCCTTTCCTTCTTTAACATTTTCAAGGCACACTTAAGGGTAGTCTTTCAAAAAATAAAATGCGGTCATGGTACTTCCCTATTTAAAATGTTTTAATACCCTTATCTTATTCTTAAGATAAAATCCAATCATCTTGACTTGACACCCAAAGCCCCAACCAGCCACACCCCTGACCCTGTCAAAGGGCTGCTTCCCAAAGGCAGGGAGTGATGGTTCAGATTCATTGGGGTGTGGTCCAGGACTCAATGTGTTTAAACACATCAGGCAATTGCAGTAGTCTAGACCTTATGCTGAGAGACATCAAGAGATTACATTTTTCTCTGGTGCCTTTCTGTTTCAGTCTTTAAACCTGCTACCATCTGTCATCATTTAACCATTTCTAAGAGCTTTTAGCTTCTATCTGAACCTCAAAAACACTGTTCTATCTGAACACAAAAACACGGAGGTGGGATGGCAGTTTCCTTTACAGTAAGGAAACTAGGGTGCAGAGTTTCAAAAGGAAGTCAAAGTTCCTCTAGCCCTCATAATCTGAAATCCCTTAGAATCAGCTGCATCTTTTAGATGTTGTTGTTGTTAGGTGCCATTGAGTTGATACCGACTGACTCATAGCGACCTTATGCAGAGCAGAATGATCCTGGGCCAACCTCACTACTGTTGCCATGCTTGAGTCCATCGATGCTACCACTTGGCCAATCCATCTCATTGGGGGTCTTCCTCTCTTTCTCTGTCCCTCCACCTTACCAAATATGATATCCTTTTCCAGTGATTGGTCCCTCCTGACAATATGTCCAAAGTATGAGACGACGTTTGGTCATCTTGGCCTCTAAGGAGCACTCTGGTTGCAGTTCTTCCAAAACGGATCTATTGGTTCTTTTGGCAGCCCATGGCACTATCAATATTCTCCTCCAACACCATAACTCAAAGGCATCAATTCTTCTACGGTCTAGGGTTTCTGAGGAGCAGCTGGTGGATTTGAATCACCAGCCTTGCAGTTCAAACTAACCTTGTCTAGCATATTATTCAGCAGTGCCACAGCAGGACTCCAACATGATGGGAGGTGAGGTGGGAGGGATGTACTTTCATCTGAATGGTGTGGTTGTGGTGGCTGAGGAATACTGACTGGGAAGATGCCTGTGATAAGTTTCTTTTTCAAAAAAAATTTTGGGGTAACAGAAGTAAGGAGTTACGCTAGGGTTAAGACTATGGCTAGGTCTAGGCTATAGGATAAATACTGGACTGTTAGCTGTTAGGTTGGCAGTTCAAATCCACCAGTTTATTCCTTGGAAAACCTATACAGGGTTGCTATGAGTCTAACCTACTTGGTGGCACTTAATAACAAGGCTAGGCCTAGGGCTTTGTTTAGTGTTAGTTTTATCCATTCTTTAATGGAAAAATGGATAAATAAACTGGTACATATATACAGTGAATCCTTGTGTGGTGCTATGGGTTAATGAGCTTGATTGCAAAGTTAGTTTAAATCACAAGGCAGTTCAAGCTCACCAGCTGCTCCTTGGAAATCCTATACAGGGTAGCTATGGGTTGGAACTGACTCCAGAGCACTTAACAACAACAACATACACACAATGGACTATTATGCAAAGTTGAAGAATAGTAATGAATCTACAAACACTTCATAACATGGATGAACTTAGAGGGCATTATGCTGAGTGAAACTATTGTAACTAAGTGCTTTCACTCACAGATATTCTTGTATATGGTTTCTGTGGCTTTAAATGTTCTTAGGAGCAGAAAGCCTCATCTTTCTCCCAGAGCTATGGTGGGTTCAAATCACAGACCCTGTGTTTTGCAGTTCAGTGCTTGAAGGACAAATATTATATGAGTTAATGCGTCAGACTGCAAAGCCATTTGAACTGCAAGGTCGGCGGTTCAAGCTCACCAACTGCTCCTTGGAAACCCTATACAGGGCCGCTATGGGTCGGAACCAACTTGACAGCACTTAACAACAAACAACAACTATCGTAAAAACTCAAGAAAAGGTTTTCATACTAAAAGAAACATTTTTTGATGGTTAGAAGGTGGACATATGTTAAATTGGTTGATGGGGAAGGCAATACGCAATTTAGAATAGGAATTAGGATAGAGCTTAGAGTAAGGATTATAGTTAAATTTATTTAATTAATTATTTAATTTCCTCTTCATTTGGAAGTTCTGTAACTACATTATTTTCCCTTTTTTAATTTAAAAAAGTTTTAATGCATTTTTTGTATACAAACCATACACATCAGTAAAAAAGCAATGCTTATAAAAATGATTTTATCTACATTGTACACACATTTTGTATTTATGCAGTGATTTGATTTATCTATGTATAAATGTGTGTGTATTTATATTTCAGGGAGACGTTCTTGTCAATTGTTGTTGTTTGTGAACTGCTGACTTTGTGGTTCAAACTGACTTTGCAGTACAGTGCATTAACCCACAGCACCACACCATGAGAAGTAAAAGATGCAAAATACCTTTAGGATGACATATGGACATTTTATGAGGATTGAAAAATAACAGAAAATTTTTATATCATTATTTGAAAGGATCTCTGGGGACTCAATGCTTTTGAACCCCTAAACAATGTCGCTATGAGTCAGAACCTACTCTATAGGAAGAAGATATGGCAGTTAGCTTCTGTAAAATTAAGGCCTTGGTCTTTGGAAACATAGGGTCATTAAGAAGCCCAGTTGATTCATTGACAAGAGATAATGGGTTTAATATTATTTAAATGAATGGAAAAAAGCTTGATAACCCTGCATTTTGTAATCAGTTGTATAAACGTGGATTTTTACATATGTAAAGGAGCTCTAGTAGCTTAGTGGCTACAAATTGGGCTGCTAACCTCAGGATCAGCAGTTCCTTCGAAACTACCAGCTATTCATCGGAGAAAGATGAGGTTTTCTGTTCCCGTAAAGATTTACAGCCTCAGAAACCCTGTACAGGGTCGCTATGAGTTGGAACAGACTCCACGGCACATAACAACAACAAATCATCCTCTGGTACTGTGCGGAACACACTAGAACAGTAAATGTCTCTAGCAAGGCTTTAGAATTTTCATATAGCTCCATGTCTTTAGCCAAACAGGAGGTCTTTGACTATAGTTGTTTTTAGTTGCCATTGGGTCAATTACAACTCATGGGAATTCCAGTGTGCAGAGTGAAACAGATCCAAAAAGCTTTCAAATCCATGACCTTTCAGAAGCAGATCATTAGGACTGTCTTCTAAAGTGCCTTTGGTAGGTTTGAACTGCCAACATTTCAGCTACTAGTTGAGTGCTTAATTGTATGTACCAAATTTTAATATAACTTCATATGCTTTTTTAAAGTTTGGAGCTGGGGTAAAAGAGGATTAGGACATGGCTAAGTCTGAATAGGAGTCCTGATTTAGTGCTGTAGAATAAGCACTGTACTGAGTGGTTGATTTGAACCACAAGGTTGACGGTTCAAACTCAGATTCCTCTCCTCGGAAACTCTTTACAGGATCATTAAGAGTCAGAACCAACTTGATGGTGCCTAACAAGAAAATTAAGCCTAGGGTTCTTGTACCATTAGGGTTATGGTTAGGACTAGGGTTAGTGTTCGGGGTACGGGCAGGGGTTGGGCTAAGGCTAGAGTTAGTACTCGTCTAGTTGTAAGGTCACTGGTAGGTTTACTTATTTATTTAGGATTAACATGATTTATTTCATTACCAGTCTTAAAATTGCTAAATTGGACAAAGCCAGGATAGTAACTTAAATTCCAAGTACTTTTGTTGCGTCACAACCCGATTAACAAGGTCCTGTTATTGAGTGGAGGGTGCTAAGGGTACGCAAGAACCACAGCATATGTAGCAAAGTGTTAAAAATCCCTTCACTGAGAAATAGGTAGACAGATCGTAACAGCCAGGGATCTGCTCTACTGGCTCTAGATACCCACTAAGCCCCTTTAGAGGAGACACACATGAGACCTCCCAAGGCACCATGGAGACAAGATGGGTTGGGCAGACTAACACTGGGGCATCCCCACCGATGGACTGTGGCCTGCCACTCAGTAAAGCCCATTGCTGGGAACGATGGCAAGCCCAGGTCCTTCCCAGTGAAGTCAGCCAGCAGCCTGACATTTGGCTTCTTCAGCTTCTGTTGTCTTCCCTGGTTCTCAAATTGTTACCTATGGAGGAGGTAAGCTCCTTTTTCTACCCTGGACCAAAGGTGGGATAAGCTCCTTTTTCTACCCTGGTAAATAGCCCCTGCCTTCCTGGGGCTGTGCTGATTCAAAAAGGGATCAAAGCCCAGGGATCCTCCACCCCAGACCCACCTCTCATTCTCTGTGGCAGTGTTACTACCACTGGTCAGCAGGCTGTTTGTTGCCCTTAGGTGGCCCTCCCATTAGTCCAGCACAGCAGGGCAGCAGAGCTGGGGGCAGGGTCTGGTGACAGTAACTGGAAGCAGGGCTCAGTTCTGGCTGCAGCTCCAGGCTCAAATGGGCCAGCTTTAGCTCAGGTTCCTGAATGGTGTCTACTCATTCCCACCACCCATGTGTGGATGGAGGGCTGGAGTGTTAGCCAGGAAGAGGGCAGCAGGAGGAAGTAAATTAGTGTAAACATTTTTTTTAAAAAAGTTGCAGGTAGCTTAACAGTAAACATTTTAAAAAGATCAAGCTCTCTGCCCTTTCTTTGGGGATCAAGAGGCACCTGGTGGTGAGGGTACTCAAAAGATGGTGCAACCCCTTTCCAGCTGCTGCGTGTGGGTCCAGGTTTGCCTTTCCGGTAGTACCCATGAAGATGACCTTGACCTCCATCTTCTTGGTCAGGTTCAGCATTCAGTGCTGACTGCCCAAGGAG